TTTTGTATGCGCGAAACACCCAAAATCGTCTAAATTTTGGGTGTTTCGCGCATACAAAACCTTAATAGAAGGGGGTCTGACGCAATTTTTAAAATACAGGGAGGAAACGCGCAGATTTCATATAATACAAGGGGGTTTGGTTCATTAAACCTTTTATCTCTTGTGAAATTATACATTAATGTATAATATTATTTTCCTTTTACTATTAAAGAATCTTGGCACTTTTGTTTTTTAGTTTTATTAGATTATTTCTTCTTATTATATATGGTGCCATTATTATTATTATTATTATTATTATTATTATTATTATTATTAAACGGAAACTCAATCATGGTCAATGGTCCCAAAATTGAACAACATTAGAGGTGGTTGATGGATTATTTAATTTCATTATAGTATGCCCAAAAACTATGTGTTGCATATCTACAAGTCCTTGCCTACAAGTCTCTTTAGATATGGGAGGACTTTTAGACATCTATATTATACTACTGGTACGTAACCCGTGCGATGAACGAGACAGAAATATTAAATAAGTTATTTTCACAGACTTTGTCCCTTAATTATATAAAGCAATAGGGTTATCATCTATTTTTCACCTCTTTTAATCAGCGTTAAGTGTAATAAACAATAAGGTTACAATCTATTTTTCACCTCTTCTAATCAGCGTTGTTTTTTTACTCAAAACATTAAATATGAACACGTTAGGGCTAGCTTGTAAAATAATTAATATATTATCTCACTAACACATTTATACTAATATAAATTTGATTTTAGTATATATATTTATTCCTTGATATAAGAGAGAATAACAATTTTACTTATTCTTGTTCACCATATAATACTTAATTATTATTTTATTATAAACTTTGTTGTCATATGATATCATTATTATTTATAAAGTTATAGAAGTTGTACGTCTTCTTTTTCTTTTTATTTTATGTAATGAAAAATATTTAATGCACGTTAGGATTATTTATTTATGTAATCAATTTAAAATATGTAAATAAATTTAAAATTAAATAGTGTATAAATATTTTACAAAATATACACATGTTTTTTTAGAATTTCATAAATATTTTTGGATAAAAAGTGAATATTTGTGAAAAAAATTAATAATATGGTTAGAACTTAAAATATGGTGTAATATTTATCTTGGCCAAAATATTATCAACATAGATCATAGAGATCAATCTTGTAATTTATTATAATGAATATCAATGAAAGTATTATAAATATTAATAAAATAATATTTATCTTGACCAAATTATTATCAACATGAATTACAGAAAACCAATCTTGTAATTTATTATAATGAATATCAATGATTATTTAAGTAATTTTTTTGAACATATCTTATTTGATCTTATTTGAAACGTGTATATAGAAGCAATTAATGCATATATTTAAAAAGTTTCCAAAAATGATATGCATTAAATGTTTCCTAAATTTTTTGCTACTATTTTTAGTAAATGATAATTCTTATTATATATATATAGATATAGATATTATTTACAGAAATTTATGGAGTCATCAACTTTATGTATCGACACATGTTCAATGTGTATTTATTGCAGGACACGTGTCAATACACCATTTGTGAGTAAATATGGATGACTCCATAAGCCGAGCCATCCGATAGCTTCATAACAAAACCGATTTGTTTGTTTCATTTATTATCTCTTTTTCAATCAATTATTATTTCATATTTGTCAAATCATTCTATAATTAACATTAATCATTGCATTACTGAATTTCTTAATTTCTTTTATCCACCATATACTAGTCTTATACTGTATTATATATTATACAATCAGCTAGTTTGAATGAAGTAGTATTCAACTATTTATTCAATGAGAGATTAGAATATATAATATAATCAATTTTATAGCACCATATCTCAATAGTGGATGAGCCCACCTCATCGAAATGCATCACTTTTCTATAGGGGTGAGACCAGTTCGGTTTTTGTCTAAATATTGAATAATCGCAACTAGGTTTTTCTCAAATTTTTCGGTTCGGTTACTACCTCATTTTTTGGAAAAACAGGGTAGAAACCGATCCGTTGGTATTCGATCCGGTTCTTCCGGTTTTCCGGTTCTTAGACTAAAGAAAAAACTTCACGTGAAAAGCAAAATTAATTCACCAACAGAAACATACAAGCCTTTGAATATCTTCCTCAATCATATCCGAACTCAGCAAACTTCAATTGCCTTCTCTGCAACTTCGAGCCTTCTATTTCGAAGATCCAGATCCAAACTTCTTTTAAAAAAAACTAAAAATAAAAATAAAAATCCACCCACTTTTCTTCTTTTCCGTCACAAACCTACCGGAAATTCTCGAACATCCCAGGTATGACGATTGTGCGATATGCGTGTGTTGGGCTTAGAGTTTGGTGTGCGGGTTGTAGATGTATGCTGACGACGGCTAGGTGGGGTTCGCTGGTGCTGGCGATGGTTCGGCGAAAAAAGGTAAAGGGTGACTGCCGATGGTGGCGACGGCGGCCTAGGGATTTATTGGAGAAGGAAATGAAAATTGGAAGGGAATTTGTGTTGAGAATAAGGGGATCTACGGGTACCTGAGGTGATTTGGTGTTAATTCACATTTATTACCTTATTTTTCATTTTTGTAATTATTTAATGTATTATCCAAAAAACATGTAATATAATATAAACATGTTATGTATGTGTGGGACCGGTTCTTCGGTTCTTTAACTTGTTTTGGATGAATAACCGAGAACCGGAACCGATTTTAACCCAAAAATAACCGAACCGGGAAAGCTGTTATATTATAACAAGGAACCGAACCGAACCTGCCAAATTCGGTTCGGTTCAGCTCGGTTTCCCGGTTCTCGGTTTTAAAATCCCAGCCCTACTTTTCTAGCGGGGTCCTTTTTATTTACACATAATATATAAAGAACGATAAAAAATAATAATAATAATATAGTAAGTAGTCATTAATGCAAAAGAGAATGATAAAGAAGAAGGACCACATTATGCTGCAACCTTTCATCAAATTTATAAAATATAATAATGGCAATCTATATATATATAAAGAGGAGTAACAAAACATTTAATTTTATTCTCATGCATTAAATTTTATTCTCCCTTCAAAATTTTCAGCATTCATTTCATTTTCAGGTTACAAAATAACTTGTTTGAATGCGATAAAATTTTAAATCACCCACTCATGAAAATGGTCAGGTGTATTAGCATAAAGAAAATGGTTGTAATAGCTCTTCCACAACAATTACTTTATCAAAATCAATTTTGAAAATTATTTTCTTAATTCATATTTTTTTTTCATGAATTAAATTATGATTTATTTTTATTTTTTTTAATATTGTTATCTTTTTAAAGTATTCTTCTCTCACATGTTGATTACTAGTATATATATATATATTGCAAGCTTAACAATAAATTTTACCTAACAATAAAACCTAATAAATTTTACCTATGTGGAAAATCATTAAATAAAACCTAATAAATTTTACCTATGTGACATTAATACACCCTATCTCATTAATAATAAAATATTTTATTACACTTTTTTTGAGTTAATTAAGACAAAAATAATTATATTTTATGTTAATTAAGTAATAATTATAGTTTTTATTGAATCATATAATAGTTAATATTAAATTAGTAATTATATTTAACATTAAATGATATATGAAAGTAACATAAAATTATATTTTACACGAAAATCAATATTATTATTTTTATATGATTAAGCGATTGTCTTTAAAATAAATTCATTTTTTTATGTCATAATAAAATTTCTTAAATTCGCATAAACAATTGTTATAATAAATTTAATATTTTTCAGCTAATGAATTGGTCATGATCACTCAAATCTACAAAAATTATATATTTATTACATTTTATGCAATCAATATAGTGATTCGTATGCAAGCAAATCGTATGTGCTATTTATTTTAACCAATTATCAAATTTTAAAATATTATACTCATATCTAATTTATAATTTGAATATTATACGCATAAATATAACTTATAATACTATATGTGTGAAATATAATACTATTATTTAACTTATAGTTTTAATATTATATGCATACAAATAACTTATAATATTTAATTTTACTTACACATGTGCAAATGCACAAGGTAGAATACTAGTTTATATATATAATTGTAGGCTATACATTTATTGCAAAAAGAAAAATTTTCTTGTCTAAAGTTTTCAGCTTTATTAGTAAGTTTTATTTTTTTTTTTTTATTTGTGTTTACATCATTAAATTTGTAATAAATATTATAATATTTATAAAAACCGTAACGGGTATGTTTTAACCATACCCGTTAATTTTAAAATTTTGACTTCAAATTATTCATACCTAATTTAACCATCTAGAATACTACAACAAAATTGAGTTTTAAGACAATTATTTAGAAATAATTGTAGATTTCGAATTTGACTTAGGAAGTAAATTTGTAAAANTTACAAATATTGTTCATATAAGCATCAAATTATAAGTGAACAATTATTTGATTAAATAACCCAAATTGTACATATACTTTATTAAATTATTATATTATTAATATAATTATCTTACAAATTAATGTACTGCATATAAAATTTATATTTTCCATTTTAAATTTATATTTTTTTTCTACTTTGGTATACTTTATGATTATTATTATTACTATAACAATTAAAGTATATATATATATATATATATATATATTATATTTATTATATTCATTTAATAATTATAATTAATATATAATAAATTCCACATTTATATTTTTTTATTGAAATTTAAAACTTCATCTAAGTCTAATCAACATAACAATTCAATTATAAATACGATACATATTAATCAATAACTTATTTTTATATACAAATTTTATATTATTTTTTATTTAATCTGTACATACATATGCACACAACATGAATTACAAGTAAAATTGAATATATATTAAGTTGTCATCAATCAACATGGATTACTTTACTTGAATATATAATAAGATGTCATCAATACCCGTCTTTGCCGAGAATTTCTAAATTTTAATTTCTTTATTCTTTTATTCTCTTTATATTTATATTTAAAGTAATTGTGTGAGATAATGTAAAGGGAAGTATCAAATTACCAAATATTTTTCTCAAGTCTTTCTTCTAAGCATGTGAATCTGTGATCTGAAATTCTCATCCTCATCCTGATATAAAATTATAACTACCGTACAAATACAATTTAAAATGCGCATAGTAACAGTAGATGTAGCATAATTGATTAGGATTTAGGAGAGACCAATTTATAGTATCCATGGTACGTGATGATGGGTGCATCGATTACAAGCTCAAATCTGCTGGCAAGCTGATCTCAAGGAAATATAGGCTGCAGAATGAAAAGAAAAGAAAAGTTCAATAAAAAGAGAAATAAAGTGAATAAATTGCAAAAGGACCACTTTCTGTCTTTTTTTACTGTTAAGGTTACTCCGTTACTCCATTTTCTTGAGGACCAACAAAAGTACGACTGATTATACGACTATAAAAAGTTTTTGAAAATCTCAGTTGAATACACCACATATATTTGAATTTATTTGCAGAAATCACCCTTGCTGTTTGGCCTAATTACAGAAATCACCACCACCTTTTGAGTCTAACCACTATCCACCACCAGGTTTGTCTTGAGGGTTACAAATTTAAAGGTTAAAGAAAAGATTGTAAGGGGAACACATTAAAGGGTGATTGTTTATGGATTCAACTAGTTTTTATTTGATTTGTTTTTTACTATAATTAATTTTAAAAAAGGTGGTATGATTAGTTGTTAGTGGATATTAATATTGAACTAAAGTTGATGTGATGCGTAAGAATGATTGGTTGATATTATGTAATTATATTGATAATATGAGAGATAGTGGGGTTGCGTTGAAGTTGAGTGAAATTTGAGCTTTATTTGGTTTTTTATTGTAGAATTATAAACATTCACCCCCTAAGTACTTTTAAAAGATACTTGGATCTTTCGTAATTACGCAATTTGGCGAAAAAATATTACCTAGCAGACATGAAAGCCATGCCGACAAATACAGCTTTTACTGCTTGCTTTTGTCCGGCGTAATCAAATGCCAGTGGTAACATTTCATGCAAGGTCAGAAAAGCCATTACTCCACCAACTGCAAATAACACAAACGGAAAAAATATAAAGGAAAACGAAGATGGGAAAAAAGAAAAAGATTTTCAGACAGTATTCTCCTTTGATAAGGTAAACCTGATCCAAGAAGGCCCTCTAGAATTTCAGGATTCAAGCTGCTCGGGAATAAGTAAGCTGCGAATGATAAATCGAAAGTAAAACATGAAATCGAGAATTTCAATGTTGATTGCTTTATTTGTATGTCTGTGGTTTAATTTTGATTTTGAGGTCAGACCTACAATAATTACACCGAGGGGCTCGGCAAAACCGGAAAGTGTAGCCAACTTGAATGCCTGCCATTTGCTGAAGGCGAAAATGCAAGTAAACCAAATACGTGATGAATACAAATAATTTCGATTGAAAAATAATTCACCAGCATTTTCATTTAATTAACTTTATTTCAGAAGGAAGTTGAGAATTTAGCTAATCTTGAGGGCTTTGCAGGGAAACCAAAATGTACTGAATATGTATTGATTGCAAGCTTTCAAGACTACAACGGTCCTTTTCGCTTAACTTGTTTGGAGTTTAATAAGATAAAGAATTGTACCTTTGTGTGGCAAAATAAACAGGAAGTGCAACAGCTACACCCTATAAAAACGCCAAAAATAAGGATCTCAGATTTGAAATGTGAAAACAAGTATTTGTCTTACCATCAATTTTTTGCACGGCACCCAAAGTGCAGGTGACAATTACAGAACTACTCTAGAAAATTTAGCCTAAAGCATAAAGTTATATTATCTTTGAAATTGAAAGATATCCACTAAGAGCAGGTTTGTTACTCGAGATTGGACAAGACTGGCCCCTCAATCTGGCCTTTATCCTTCGTTTGTTTAACGCGACTATGGCTTGGACAGGGCCCGCGACCAATCTCCTTCAATCTTGAGTATACCAGACTATTTCATCCGGGGTGAGATAAATGATGTCTGTACAGTACTTTGACATTTAAATGTCTGAATTATCCCTGTTAACTTTTATTTTTAGACCATACTGCCCTCCTTTGTTACAAAAATTACACACCATCCATTACCCTCGCAGTCTGTCATCCGCCGCTCGACTTCCACTCTCCGCCCTTATGAGAAAACCCCAAAGTTCGAGAGCTTAGGAAATCAACCTAGGGTTTGCGATAATCCTCCAGTCTAGGTAAAGCGTTGCATACATATTCTGTCAATTCAATAAAGTTTATGTGTCATCTGCTTAAACCTAGCTAGCAGAATTTGAATTCTTTCATCGTTGGAATATGCATGCTGTAACTTTGTGTGAGCCTCTAACTCCATTTTCTCCTCAGTTTTCCAATTGTGCCAATATTGCCATTTTTTTTCTTTAGTTTCACTGAAGATTCCTCCACCAAGTAAGGCAGTGTTGATTTATGAATGTGTGATTTGTTTTGATTATGCTTGAGTGTATCTATTTTGATTGGTTTTGTATGTGTGAATTTGATACCCATTAATTGGGATCTTGAGTAATTATGTATGTTCTGTTAAAATAGTGTGATGTAATTGGTGATGTGAATCATAATAGCCAAAATTGATGCTCTCGGGTCCTCTGCTTGATTGTTCATTTTGTAAATAATAGCTGACGTTAGGAAGATGCTGTGTAGTTAGCATACTTTTTGATAGCTATATATGCCTGTTAGGTGTTCATATTATAGAAGCCTTTGTGGGCAGCATGTGTGGTTATGATGCAAATTTATAGTCCATGTATGAGTTTGTTTTGTATCAATTAACTTGGACTTGGAACTGTTTTTGGTTATGAGTGTTTCCTATAATTTTGTTATGTAGTATGCTCATTGAAAATTGTATGCTTTATATTACGCTCGAGTTACCACGGGGTTCGCTGGTAAGTCTCTAGTAAATTTTTAAGTTTTCTTCTTAGCAGTTGGCTGTTAATGATGTCATGAAAGAGCTTGTTGGAGTAGTAACTAAATCATCATACATTTTTGTGAAATACTTCATGAAACATGCTGACAGATATAAAGTTAGTTTGACTTGTTGAAGTGGGAATGATGATGAGTTTAATGATAAGAAATTTATTGGTAAGGGTGGAGGAATGAATAATTAAAGAATAATCTGTATATTCCCTTGTTAATGGATTGAGATTTTTGTGATTGATTTACGTTATATGTGACAAATTAAATTTCGATTATGTTTGTTAATACTAATTAGTAGAGTTTTTGTTTTGTAATTCTTCTAATAAATCATGTCAATTATTCATTATTTCTACTTGTCACCTGTTTTTTCCTTCCAACATCTAATTCATCTCCAGTATTATCATTCTAATTCAGTTTCCCCAGGATCAAGGAACTAATTCAGTTTCCCAGGATCAAGGAGCTACCCAGGATGAGGCAATGGAACACAAAAAATAAATAAATAAATAAAATAAAAATAAATAAATAAAAAATAAAAATAAAAAGGTGTCATGGATTTTATTTTAGGGCACGTTTGTTAAGCAAGACTAGATTAGATTATTTTTATCCTATGTACCAAGATTGTACTGTTGAGTTTATGTGTCATCTATGTTTGTTAAGAACGGATTCTGTTAATTTTTTGTGTTCCACATTTGTTTTCTTAGATAAGATATAGGATAAAAGCTTGAATTACCAAAATGCCCTTAATTTAAAATACATATACGAAAATAAAATCCATGACACCTTTTTTTTTTATATAGTTCGTGTTCCATTGCCTGCATTCTTGAGCCGGGCCTGAGTAGCTCCTTGATTCTGGGGAAACTGAATTAGAATGATAATACTGGAGATGAATTAGATGTTGGAAGGAAAAAACAAGTCGCGAGTAGAAATAATGAATAATTAGCATGATTCATCAGAAGAATTGCAAAACAAAAACTCTACTCTATATTAGAATTAACAAACACAATCGAAATTTATTCTGTCACATATAACGTAAATCAATCACAAAAAATCTCAAAGGGAAGATACAGATTATTCTTTAATTATTCATACCTCCACCATTACCAATAACTTTCTTATCATTAAACTCATCTCATTCCCACTCCAACAAGTCAAACTAAGGGGGGTGTATTCAATTCGGAATTTAAGTGACATTTTGAGACTTTTTGAGATTTGAGACTTTCTAGGATTTTCAGATTTTGGAAGAATTCTATGAAATCTCAAGTCCGGAGGTAGGATTTGAAGTGGGGTTTCATATAAGGTTTTTTGTTTAGAAATCCCACAAAATCTTAAAAAGTCTTAATAAATCCTAGTGTCAAAAAAGTTAAATACCTCAGGATTTTGTAAGACTTTTGAAAATCCCAATTGAATACCCCAGGATTTTTAAAAGTTTTAAAAAGTCTTAACAAATCTAAATTGAATACACCAGGATTTCTAAAGTCTTAAAAAGTCCTTAAAAATCCTAATTAAATACACCCGTATAACTTTATATCTATCAGCATGTTTAATGAAGTATTTCACAAAAATGTATGATAATTTAGTTACTACTCCAACAAGCTCTTTCATGACATCCTTAACAGCCAAATGCTAAGAAGTAAATTTAAAAATTTACTAGAGACTTACCAGCGAACCACGTGGTAACTCGAGCGTAATATAAAGCATACAATTTTCAATGAGCATACTACATAACTAACATAAAAGTTCACAAGTCCAATTAAGTTAATTGATACAAAACAAACTCATACAAGGACTACAAATTTGCATCATAACCACACATGCTGGCCACAAAGGCTTCTATAATATGAACACCTAACACCTAACAGGCATATATAGCTATCAAAAAGTATGCTAACTACACAGCATCTTCCTAACGTCATCCTAACGTCAGCTATAATTTACAAAATGAACAATCAAGCAGATCAGAGGACCCGAGAGCATCTGTTTTTGGCTAATATGATTCACATCACCAATTACATCACACTACTTAACAGAACATACATAATTACTCAAGATCCCAATTATCTTTACTATACTGGTAGAACAAGCAAATCACAACTCGTGACACAACTCATGACATGTCAAAAAAATGGGTATCAAATTCAGACATACAAAACCAATCAAAATAGATACACTCAAGCACAATCAAAACAAATCACACATTCACAAATCAACACTGCCTTATTTGGTGGAGGAATCTTCAGTGAAACTTAAGAAAAAAAAATGGCAATATTGGAACAACTGGAAAACTGAGGAGAAAATGAAGTTAGAGGGTCACACAAAGTTACAGCATATTCCAACGATGAAAGAATTCAAATTCTGCTAGCTAGGTTCAAGCAGATGACACATAAACTTTATTGAATTAACATAATATGTATGCAACGCTTTACCAATCTGTGAGATTAAACCTAGACTGGAGGACAATCGCAAACCCTAGGTTGATTTCCTAAGCTCTCAAACTTTGGGGTTTTCTCTATGAGGGGCGGAGAGCGGCCGACGACGGACGGAAGTCGACTGACAGATGACATGACTGCGAGGGTAATGGATGACATGTAATTTTTGTAACAAAGGATGGCAATATGGTCTAAAAATAAAAGTTAACAGTGATAATTCAGACATTTAAATGCCAAAGTACTGTACAGACATCATTTATCTCACCCCCCAAGTCCGGAT